AAAAACCCTTTAACAGGGAAAAAAAAACAGTAGAAACCTCAGGAAGAGCAACTGAGGAGGGATCCCTCTTCCAGGACGGACAGACGTGCAATAGATGTCGTACAGATGTTTTATTGAACTCATAAAGAAACCTTAATTATTTCTCGCATGCCTCCACAGTGAACAGAGAATCCAAAAACTTCTTTAATTAAGTAAACAGGGACTGCATTTAACAACAGCAAACTATATCAAAACATACGTTTACAAACTCTCACACAGCTAATGCAGGACAATCCAAGTCTTATACATATTTATATATACATATATATATGTATATATATGTTTTCTTTAGTGTATAATCACCAACAAGAATTGCCTTGATTTTGTTACCTTAAAATGAGCCGTTTATATCTACTTAGGGAGTGGGTTCTCGACCACCAAGATCGGTATATTGCACCACCATGTTTCTACAGTTGCCCAGAATAGACAAATCAAACACTGGCTCTAGATAGAAATTGTGTTTTCACGTAGGCCACCATAGTTAGAAGCCCCTCTGCTACAAGCAGTGTCATAAAAACACTGATTTTTAAATGTGACATTTTAAACATCCCGGTTAAAAAAAGAAAAAGGTGAGCTAACATTAGCACGTGGTAGGCTAACATTAGCACGTGGCAGGCTAACAGCCCACCTGCAACATGCCAAACATACACTGGAGACACACTCATTTTTACAAGTCTAAATCAGCAGGTCTGTTTGTTTTGGAGAGGAAGAGACCTCTGCGGATAATTCGGCTCGCAGGTAAAACCTCCTGAACAATGAACACTGAAGGAGAAGTTTCAGCTGGTTGCAATCTTTAATTCTCACCGCTAGAGGCCACTATGTCCCCTAAATCATACACAGTGGACCTTTAAGTGAAAGAAGTGTTTTTGTTAGATAAGAGACACATTCAGTAGATGGAGGCTGCCAGATTCACAACCAGTGTTACTAATTTTGGCCACAAGATGGCAGTATCAAATCCCCCTAAATCTTAAACACTGAACCTTTAAAGAGGCACATTAATTTAATGTAAATGTGAGTTTTCCACTGGTGTCTCTTGCTCCGTCACCAGGTATGTACAGTAAGACGCTTTAAAACCACATAAACTTTAAAGGAACAGTTCACCTTTTTGGGAACCTCACTGTTTTGATGTATAACCACTCTCCGTAAAACTGCAAATTATGTTTTCTACACTTCGGGTTTTTGTGCACATGGAACAAACAAGATATATGGTGTTAATCAGTGAGCAGCTGAGGCGCTAGTACGTGATTGTGTTACCTTTTGAATGGAGCTAAGCTATCTATTTCCCTGTTTCCAGTCTACGCTAAGCTAACTGGCTTCATATTTACCACACAATTATAAGGGCGGTATCAGTCTCCTGAGCTAATTCTCTGCCAGGAAGCTAAGTCTATTCCTTTAAAGTGAACACAGGTAAGGTAAAACAGGTTGGATGCAGCTCCTGTGACGTTTATGGTAAAGTTTCATGAAACCTGAAACACAAGCGGTGCATGGTAGTGATTTCATTGATACGTTATCACAGCGTTGTGACTGAGACTTTGTAGATGTGGTTAATAATTCTTTTCCAGCTGATATCAAAGAATCAACAGAAGGACGCAGCAGGTTCCTTCATGTCCTCGTCCACAGTGAGCTGCAGTCATGTTGCTGACCACTCTGCTCGTCCTGTTGAGCTCTCAGTGCGTCTGGACCAGAAAGTCTGAACCTGTCCTGGATGAGGCGGACGCAGGTTTCTTCAGGGGGTCGGACAGGTATGACTTCGCTGTGGAGGTGCCTGCCGCAGGAATGGAGTGTTTCTGGCACTTTGCTCATCAGAGTGGAAGCTTCTACCTGACGTACATGGTGAGAGTTGATCACTGAAAACCTGGATTGGGTTTCATCATGTCTGCAGAGATACATGTGTTTGTAAGCTGATGTGTGTTATGAGCTGAATGCACAGTGAGGTCTGTGTGCCTCTTGTTCTCAGGCTTATCACACTGACTTTCAAGGTGATCCAGTTTGACTTCTGAACATGTGATCATTGTCGGTGTTAGCACAGCATTAGTGTGCATAAAAGCTTTCTCATACCTTGTGTGGAAACACAGATATGTGCGTACAGTATACAGTTTATGGTTATTAGATATGAGAGACTTGGGTCCTCTTCTTTGTTCTGGATTTTTCTCCTCTTCAAAGCTTTAAGTCTATCAGAACTTCTTTTCAGTCCTCAAACACAAACGTGCAAAAATGCAGCTTCATGACTGAAAGATTTCAAATTGAACGTCTACGCCAGGGCTCAGAAACCTTGCAGATCATTTGGCTGAAGTGACCCTTCGCTAAGTCCTGCCTACGGACGCAGACTGGCCAATCATAACATAGGATGGGGCCGGCTCAGACCAGGGTCAGACAACAACACAGCTGTGCTCCATTGACTCGAATGCAGTCGCTTCAGATTTCCATCATTTCCAGGCTGGTTTTGTGGATGTGGAGCTAAATGTTGTGCCTGGGGCACATCCTGTATTAATGACACTCGTTACCTGGAGAGGTTGGAAAAAGATTTACGTTTCTTCCCTGTTCCAAAATCAAACCTTGAAAAGTGTAGGGTTAGCTAACGTTAGCTAGCTACTGAAGATATAGAGTGTGCCAGTAAACCCAGAACTCCATTAGCACTTTTAGCACTTCCGGTGCTCTCGTCTAAAAGTCAATATGTTTTTTGAATGGGATTTTGGTAAAATGTCTCAAATAAGGTCTGTGGTTAACAAGAGCTTAAGCGAGTTTCAGGTTTTGTTCTACGACATAAAACACGTCAGTAAATACCCTACTTGTGAATTTTGAAGCTTTTACGTGTCGTAAAAAAAGGCGGTTGCTAACAAGTTGCTCAATACGACTACAAACCCTGTCGGGGACATTAAACGTCATCACCCCCGAACAGGCGAGAGTGCTGGCAGTCCGCCATTACAGCTTCTTATTTAGCTTAAACAGTCCGATTTCCCCATTATACAATGTTTTTAAAATAAAGCAGCCGAAATCAGTTGAAAGCTTAGTGGCGGTGACGACAAGAGTCATGCGACCGTGGAGTAGTCATGTAGTCCGTTAAAGCCTAACGTTAGCTTTTTACTTCTGGCGATCGCATTTAAGCTTCAAATGCGGTATGAAAGGTGTTCATATGTGAAGATTATCTTGTTGAACAAAACCTGTAAGTATCATAAACTTGTGTTAGCCACAGAGCTTATTTTCTGACATAATCCAAAACGCAATGCAAAAATCACATTCACTTTCTCTTCGGGAACCAGCGCGATGCTAAACTTCCGGGTTTTGACGTCAGCCCTGGCACACTCTATAGCCTACTGAATGTATACACATGCTGCTTTTGCTTTGTAATGATTCTAACAGTGAAACAAAGAGCGACCCTGCTGTACAGGAACCAGTGAAGGGAAGCAGGGAAACTTTGCTCAGATTCAACCAGCTGTGTGTCATCACAGTGTGTGTCATCACAGTGTGTGTCGTCACAGTGTGTGTCGTCACAGTGTGTGTCATCACAGTGTGTGTCATCACAGTGTGTGGCATCACAGTGTGTGTCATCACAGTGTGTGTCGTCACAGTGTGTGGCATCACAGTGTGTGCAGATGCAGAGGTCAAACACCGTTCATCTGCACACACTGTGATGCCGCACAGCTGGTTCAGTATCAGTGAAGTTTCCCTTTATATTCATTGTCTTGTGTGGCGATCAGCAGTGATGTGGTGGTTCACTTTTACACTGTGATCTGTAGCCTATAGTTCGGCTTTAGCTTCTAACTATCTTTGTCTTTTTAACCTGTTGTTGCTGCTGAGTCAGTTTGACATCCTGGATATATCCTTCTGTCTGCTTCTCTCTGACATCACTGCTTCCTTTTTCCAAAAATATGATTCCTCAGGGAGTGCAGTTAGTGACAGTGTGGGCTCCATGCTTACTCTGACAGCCTGTCGGACCATCACAAAGGGGCGGGGCTTAGTGAAAGGTCAATTGGCACACAGCAGCTTAAGTAATGCCACACTAGCAATAAGTATGCAAGCATTTTTTGGAAATGCTGAAATGCCATCTCATCTGCATGCCAAATGACCTCCTTTGCAGCCATTCTTATCGCAGCCACACACAAAGTCTTCTTTTATTTTGACACCTCTTTTCCTCACTTACCTCACTTCATTTACCTTTAACTGAGAGCATTATTTGCCCTTATTAAGATGAACATTTGTTTAATTTTACTCAAGTTATAATTGTGTGTTTGTTTTCTCATTCAAATCGCATGCGTGTTTTCTCCCCCACTTTATGTTTAACTGCAGTTTCTTGAGTTTTGGAAAGTAAACCTTTGTGTGCAAAAGGAGAGTTTCATGGCTGATGCATTTTGACTGTTGCCCACGAAAACAGACTTCTCTTTCTCAACCTCCTCCTTAATACAAAGACCTGCTCTACTCTGCCTCTGATTGGCTACTAATAGCCTTCCGGTAAAAACAGGAATGTTGCCGAAGTGGGCTCAGCAGTCGATAGCAGGCTCACTAGCTAAGAACGCTGAAGTAAATCTTTGGGTATTCCAGCTCTCGTGGACAAAGCAGTGGCGTTTTATGTGTCAGACGGACCGTTCTTTGTGTACTTAGTAGTTTCTGGACAACAGTGGAGCTTTATGGCTGAGAAAGAAACTATATCAGGCTGGAGATACACACAGTAGCTGATGTGGTTTGTTGACTTGTTTAATTGATGAACACAGGTACAGTGGTTAACGGGGATGGCGAACAATCATCAGTTGTTTGTGACAGTCCACTCACCGCAGGGCGCTCTCATGGCTTCAAAGAACGAAGCCGTCGGTCAGATGAACTTCCAAACTGAGGTGACAGGTGAGATCATCACAAACACACATTATATATCAAAGAGTTATATCTATCTATATTGTCTCTGAGGTAACTGCAGTGTCCTCCCTACAGGTTTTTACCGGATGTGTCTAGGGAACCGTAACAACCAGTTCGGAGGCATCAGGGTCTTTGTGAACTTTGGTGTCATCTACGAAGGTTTCGAGGAGTCAAAGACCGAGATGGAGGAGGAAGTGAAAGTCCTCAACAACACGTTGGCTGGTATCGAGGTATTTACGTCAATTCAATTCCATTCATGTTGTATCTGGACGTGGAAAGTCCACGACTAAACGTTGATATGTGACGAGGCCGGAGTGAGAATGTGTTGCCCTCCCACCCATCCATGTGGACTTTCTCGCTCTTCATAATACCTTACGTGCTCTCAGTGTCAATATTGCTGTTATATAGCTGAAAGTCTGATGCATCTTATAAAATGCTTCACAGTCCGAGGGGCTTGACAACACGTCAATACTTGACAACCTGGGGATGAGAACAGGCTGATAGTACTGGAGAAAAATCTGAATAAACACTAATTAAATAATTTATCTTGCCCTCTTTTCCAGATTTTGAGACAAAGTTAGCAAACTTAAAATTAAACAGTCAATCCAACGTTTTGCTAATCTGAACACAAGAATATTTCAGGGTTTAGTCGAGCCATTTAATAGGACATTAACTCTTTGGGCTCTAGTTTCGCAGACCGGGTGAGGCGGGGGCGCAGCGCACCTACGCTTTGCCAACTGGGTGTGGCCAGGCGGATTTTGTAAGTTTGGCACACCGTGCGCCTGGCGCAGCTACTCGTCTGTCCCACCTCCATCCCTCCTACCTGCGCAAGTCAGAAAGAGGGAGGAGAGAAGGCGTGGAGTGGGTTTTACACACATCACACCAATCAAATGAGCCCCTCTCCTCGCCCTTAAATGAGCCACGCGAAGGCGTAATGAGAGTTTACTCAATTCGCCATGGCAGAAGAGAGCAGCAGCGTCAGACGGCCAAACTTCTCCCAGGAGGAAACTGATGTTTTGGTCCGGGAGGTCCAAGCTCGCAGTGTCCGAATATACAGAACTGCGAGCAGACCTCCACGGGCTGATGATGCAAAGGTAGCCTGGGAGGAGGTCACCACAATTGTAAATCAATGCTGTGTTTCTCTCGTGCGCACGCGCTCTCTCTTTCTCTCTCGCAGTCTCACTCTGTTTCTTTTCTTTTGACTTTTCTAAGATGACAGATGCTGAATATATACTCCCTATCTGATGCTGTGGCTGTTTGTGGTTGGCTGAGAGGGATGTGAACTCATTAGTTTGCAGCTGTGTTAATCAAATCAGGTTGGGTTTCCATTACACGTGCCAAACGTGCCAAACGGTGCCAATCCCCTTTGATCTGACATCAGATGTGACGGGACAGTCGATATAGAGATACATTTATGTGCTGATTGCAGATAGTTGCATTGAATAGTGGTTTTGTGGGTATTTATTGCATTGTTAATGTGCCTGACATTCTGGAAACCTGCCTGTGAGGTTTTGGTGACGTGTGCGCACTGTCTGCCGGTCGGCCAAACTTCGGCTGGAGACCTGGTTTCAGCTGGCGAGCTTTTGGCGCACCTTCGGCGAAGCCTTTTGGCCGAAACTGTCACTGCGCCAAGCTGGATCTGTCGACACCTCCCCCTGCTGCGCCACCACACCCATCTCAGAGCACCTCGGTCTGCCAAACTACCAAACTGAGCGCGCCTCGGGTCCTCGGTTCGCCACCCTGCGCCGCACCAGGAAACTAGAGGCCATTGACTCATTTCACCCAAATCACACAGCTCACACACTTCCTCCTTTGAATCAACAGACCTCAGTGACCAGACAGAGTGGTGACTCTAAAGTTCTTTGGCTTTTAGATAAACCAGAGGTAACATCTGATTCAGGGCCAAACTTCTGTGTGATATGCACATATGTCCTTAATTTTGGCTTTGAGTGAATGTGTTCAACACATTTCTTTTTTTTTAAGATTTCAATCATGAGTTACCATTAGAGCACAAACTGTCCCTGTGGATGTACGGCATAGCCACCTTCTCACAAATTACTTAAAGCATTTTGCCCATGAAGAACTGTGTTTATATTCATTATAATGTTTTGGATTTGACCAACTACAGGTACTTCCACATGTGACTGTGCTTAGCCTGTAGTTTACTATGATGTGAAACTATAAACTGTACCATGTCTGGTTTAGGGCAGTGTGCAGAAGCTCCAGAATCAGATCTTCCACATGTGGCGTCATTACAACTTTGCCCGCATGAGGAAAGGGAAGGATCACTACCTCCTCCAGTCCAACTTCAACTACGTCACTTGGTGGTCAGCCACCCAAAGCCTCGTCATCATCCTGGCGGGATACCTGCAGCTCCACGTCCTCAAAAGACTCTTCCACACGGACTCCAGCAGGCCACGATGCTGAGAGAAGAACTTCCACACCACTTCCAGGAGGCTGCTTTCACCAGCTGCCATGACCTCTACTGTCTCACATCAGAGTTTCAAGTTGGAAAAGATAAAAGATTGTGCACACTTTCTGAAGCTAGAGAACACAAACAATTTTCCGAAAGACATTTGTTTCCTAAATGTTCTTTTGTGGCCTTAAATTTGTTCATGTAGCCACCAAGACGTCTCACAACTTATTGTCTCCAGTTCTAGGTCATATCTCTCAGATATGTCAGACAGCTCTTTTACAAAATGTCTTATGATGCCACTCATGAAATAAAATGCTCTACATTTATCTGTTGATATCCAAAATTTGACTGTCAAAAACAGCTGCAGAGCATCAGTTGATCTCAGAAATACATGGTATGACTTCTTAACATTAGGGCTCATTTATACTTCCTTCACTTACAAAAATAGATGTGTCCATCTCAAACGTTGTGACCATCACTGCCCTCATACTTCATGCGTCCTTTAAGATGGCATCGATACAGCCAATAGATGGCACTACAGGACAGAGTCAAAAGCATCACACAACAACAAACAAGGCGATGGTGGAGGAGGTCGTAATAACAAATCTGTTGATGGAGGCAGCGTTGTAGACGGCAGTGGTTTGGCCATTAAATACACTGTGACATGTAAACAGAGAATTACTTTGCTTTTGTTACCGATTCGTTCAGTTATGCCATTTTTAAAACATCTTTGTCGACTCCTTCAGTCACACCTCGCTTGAACTACGCTACACTGCATCCACGATCTCCAGTGGTACTGCTGCATCTCCTCCGTATCTGTAAGCTTTCAGAAAATGTTCCCATATGGACAAAATGGACGAGGAGTACGTATAGTAGGCTTCATCCATGTTGTCTACTTTTTTAATGCTGAGCAAAAATGAGCCCTTAGGCTACACTCTACAAAATAACCCCCTGGTTTATCTTTAAACAATTGTGGTAACAAACTGCATGCATCTCTTTAAGTAGTTCTAACTCTGCCCTCACTGAGTCAATCCCATGAATCTTTTATAATCCGACAAACTCGATTATATTAGTACAACCAACATGATTGGCTTTGACCTCAAAAAATTTAATTAAGTTGAACCAACTTAATATTCTTTCAAAAGTTGTGGTGATATTTACAGGTTAAGTTATTTTATTTAAGATATTGTAAATGATTTATTTTAATTTCTCCTAAATAGAAAATGTTAAATATGCGCTACATAGTGCTCTGAACTCCTCGAGTTGAAAAACTTCAACTCAGAGCAGAAAAACGCTCCACGTCATCTCTACCTTCTCTCCATTGTCCAATCAGATGATCTGAGAGGCGGGCCTTCTGTGGTGGTCACAACAACAAGTTTACAGTTGGTAAAACAACGGAGGAGAAACTGGTGGTAGTGGTTGCTGGATACCCAGAGCTATACGGCCTGATGATAGACAGCAGGTTGTCAAACTGCCCCTGAGTCATCCTAAAATCTGACTGTAAACGTCCATGATGGAGGAGAAGCTCCTGGACCAACTGGTGGTACTCCCCATGATCCAGCCTCTTTTTTAGGGTCTCATGTACCCACACAGATCTCTGTTTATCTGCTGACAGCCTCTCACCCTCAACCACAGCTACAGACAGTACCCTCTGCCTCAACAGTTGAGTAAGTAATTACTGGGGGGAAAAACAGTACAATGATTACACAGAAAGGTTTAGGGTCAGGAGGCGATGGCGTGGCTGCCTGACAGCGTTTCATTTACTAGTGGCATCCAATTTAAAGGGAAAAAAGGGCCTGCAAAACACCTCATGTGTGATCACAGCCTTACACTGTATTAGCAACAGAGCAGGGCTGTCGTACTTGAGCCTGTGCTGTACTTGGTTCCCTGTTTGCACCACTGGAGACCTGATTTTTACCATGGCACAGCCGGCTAGCCGTGGGCTACTCTAGACTAGAGCTAACAAGTTGAGCTCAGTCACTCGGTCACTCGGTAAGAATTGTTCTTTGTATGTAGTTGTAAGACAACCAATGTTGTCTTTTCCAGAGTGCACCTGAATGTAGAAACCTGTAATGGACCTCAGTGATTAGTTTGATGTTAGATCACAATTTTAGCTTTGAAAGACACTATCGCCAATTTTGGTCTTGAATAGGACTCGATTTGCTCTGGACTCGGTCTTGACTTGGTCTCGACTGGACCTGGTTTTGGTCTTGACTTGGACTCGGTTAAGGTGGTCTTGACTACAGCCCTGCAACCTCCAGCAGCCTGTTGGAATACACTAAGAACCTTGAATATATGAGTGGACGCAGGTTTAGCTCCCCGTTAAAAAGCTTTGATAAGAATGTCTCAGTAAGTTTGTGTGAATGACGTTGTTGTTTTTCTGATAGGAAATCTCACAGTCTAATTTTCCTGTTCTGGATGTCAGAGCTTTTGATGCCAGCAGGCTCCTGCTGTTCCATCCTCAAACTGGACAAACAGGTTTAACTAACAAATGCTTGTGTTCATTTCCTGACAGACAAGACTTGAGATTTTTTCCTGTAAGTGCTCATATTACTGCTGGATGCCAGAGCTCTTGATCACTGATGTGTTTGATGCCAGGGGGCTCTTTCCGTTGCAGCCTTGAAGTGGACGAACAGGTTTGTTGTGATGGCGTCTGTGGCGCGTTGTGGGCACAGCGTCAATGATGTCATGAATGTTTCAGGGAAAAACCAGAGAGGAAAAAGAAAGTTAAAGTGATACCTTGATACAAATGCATATTCAGTTTCTTTAATTTACACACCTTAACAAAAACTTTGCAGCTTTATGAGATCTGACATAATCACTGCTGTCATATGAAAACTTTTTAATTTTCATGGGCTTTAAAATCTGCTCAGTTTTTAGCTTTGTGCCAAATAATACATTTATCAGATAATCCAGCTGGTTTGTGACTGAATCACTGTGACGTCACGCTAACGACAACCGTCACTTCTGAGTAGACAGCTAGCAATCTATTTAAACTGAAGACATATGTAAAATCGGCAAACATTTTTATTTATTTATTTTTGTTGTTGTCATTTTTAGCTATAACATATTAAAGATATATAGATTAACAAATGGTAAAACTAGGCCGCACTGATTCAATATAAATCAAGATTACGTTACTGTATTGCCTATTTCTCGCCTACAGTGTTTTTAGAAACATATTTTAGTGCCCTGTTTAGCTGTAGTAGCTGAATTTGTAAGCAGGAAGTGGGTGCCATGCTGTTTCTTACACAGTGAAAATAGAGACTGAGGCTCCAAATCGCATACGTTTTACTTTTGATATGTACAGTATTGTAGCTGCCCTTCAAAAGTATGTGATGTTGCATGCAGTGTGCACACAATCAGGACGCACTACTTCCACATAACGTTACACCCTGAACTTTGACCCTCCTGCTCATATATCCGTTACCATGGACCATATATTTATGATTATTTTATTCAGTTAAACAATTAATATTCCTATTATTACCAATCAACTGGTCATCAGTCAAATGAATGTGCTGTCATCCATCATTGCGGCTTCTGACAGTCGATGTGAGGTATCGTCCGCTGAGCAGAGAATTGTGGGTCAGAATAGACAGAAAAGCATGCTGGCTTGCAAACCGAAACATCAGACTGGATGTAGTATATTTATGACATAGTGCATTTGACATGCTATGTACTGGGACATACTAAATCTTTTCCCAACATCGTATATAGTATGGTCGGATGAGTTTTGGACCACACAGTAAAAAACTGAGATTAAATGGTAAAACTCAGATTGTTGAATATTTCCCACCTCATATGTTTTCAGAAACATGTTTTTGCTTCCTGTTTAACTGTGAGAGATCATTTCTTGCCAGCATGCCACCATTGGTTCAAATGGACACGTTTGCATGACCTCACCCCCAGCAGAAGCATTCATTGGTCCGTTGTGGCGCAGTGCATTCTGGTAGTTGTAGGTTGTCTCCCTCTTGAGCAAAGGTATCCTTTTCCTCTGTCTTCTCTGGTTCTGTAGCACCACTTTCAAAAGTATTTGCATTGACATCCTAGTGTTATTAAAAGGCCGTCTTACCAGTGGTGAAACACTCCGTTAAGAGGGGATCTTTAATGGCCAGTATGAAGAGGAAGAATGAATTTCTCTTTAGATCTCTACCTGACTCTTGTTTAAAGACAGGATAAAGAATTTATCCTTTAATCCCTCAGTTCATCTGGAAATATAAAAAATGCTCACATTTGCAGATACATAACACACGTGATGGACTGTTTTTCAGACACCTATGCACACATTGCATTCAGGCAGACTGAAACTACATCTTCAGAAAATGTGTAAAAAATAATCATTTCTAGACTTCAGGCACATATTAGAGGTTTTTGTGCCGACCACGGGCATATTCTATGGCAATAGGTCCCTGGCACAGACATGATGGAGGGCCGCACCACCTCTCCGACACAGAAGCAAGACACACAGACTTTATAGTTGTTTAGCATCTTTTGTAATTGTGGCACTCTCTGTGGTTTTGTGTGTGTGTGTTTTTGTGTGTGTCTGGGGTTGTTTTGCCCTTTTTAAGTCATCGTAGTTGCTTTCCATCTCTTTGTGGTCATTTTCAAACTCTTTGTTGTCATTTCGAGTGTTTGTAGTTGCCTAGCCTTTCCTTTTTGAGTCACATTGTAGTTGCTTTCCCGTTCTTTGTAGTCCCTCTGAGCCTCTTTGTCGTAGCTTTCTGTCTTCGTGGTCAATTTGTGTCTTTTAGTTTGTAGTTTTTTAACGTTTCTTTTGGTCATTTTGAATCTCTTTCTGGTTGATACGTGTTAATTTGAGTGACAGGTGAAAGCCACGGGAGCCCCTGACACTTTGGACCCTTAGGCTTGTGCCAGTTAGGCCTGTTCAGTAATCCATCCATAGCGCCAAATACACAACGGACAGGTGAACAGAAAATCAGAAAATCCCCCAATCCAGGTGTGTGGAGCTTGTTGCGTCATACCCAAAAAGGCTCGAGGCTGTAACTGCTGCCAAAGGTGCTTCAACTAAGTGCTGAGTAAAGGGTCTGAATACTTATGCCAACGTGACATTTCAGTTTTTCCCTTTTAATAAATTTGCAAAAATTTCTAAAATTGTATTTTCACTTTGTCACTGAGGGTGACGGCAGGTGTCAGCTCTGACAGCTTTGACAGGAAGGGCAGGGCATGGTTTCTGGGAGTGGGTTGGCACATCATCATAGATGACATGAATGTTTCAGGTGAAACTCAAATGCACTCTAATATTCTGTAACTTGCACACTTGGAGTCAGACGCACCACTTGTCAAG